GATTTCCTATATTAACTTTACTGGGGAAAAATTGTGTTTTCTCCAGAACAGTCATTGGTTATAAATGTTCTTTCCCCTCCCTCTGCGTCAATACAGATCAATAAAAGCCATGCTAGCATGGGCATAGGACTGGAAGCAATAGCTCTGGAAAGTGCATTGAAAAAGAAATACCTAGATGCCAAGCTCACAGTACTAGAGCCAGAGTATTTAACGCAGTACGTCTGGGAGCTAATAAGGCAGATCTTCTCCAGCAAGGCTGCAACTACCGAAGTCAGTGGGCTTTGGAGGACAATCCTGAACACCCCTGCCCTGGAAATGGTACATCCTGACATAAGTTATACGGGGAAAAATCCATTTTCCTTTCTGGGTCAGCTTTTTCCATCAAATATATCAGAGGTGGGTGGTTCTGCCTCCCCTCACAACTGTGGGGCACAAAATCCTCAGCCTTGTGTGAGGAGCACAAGTCAGTTGCTATTCTTGCCTCTGGACCTTCCCAGATGTCAGAGGTATCCTATGAATTAGTGGGTAATTAGTGGATCAGTTCCGATAGTGCTTGTTAGTAAAGGACTCAGAAACCCAGGATTATGTTCCTGGCTCTGCCACAGCCTGCCGGGTGACCTTGGGCAAGTTACTTCATCTCTTTGGGCACTGGTTTCCCTTCCAAGTCTTTAAAAACAATGAGGGGTCCTGTGGCACCTTAGAGATTCACAAAAATGCATACAGTACCATGAGCTTTCATGGGTAAAGCCCACAATTCATCTGATGAATATATTTTTGGGTCTCTGAGGAACCACAGGACTAATCATTGTTTTTAAAGTTGCAGACTAACAAGCTGCCCCTCTGAGACATCAGAGTCTTTGTCTGTCTTGCTGTCTAAAACAGCAAGTGCTTCAAGGCAGGTACTGTCATTTGCAAAATGCCTAATGCAACAAGGTCTCAGGTACCACAGCAATACCAATAATAAATAATCATAAATTTTAAGTGGTACTATGAGAGCACCATATAGTTACATGTGAAGGTGTTGGGGAGAAAGGTGGAAGATGCGTCCACTAAAGATTGAACGTGGGTATAAGCAAGTATTAGGAACGAGGTTCCCTGCTGCTACTTGCTCGTGTTTGGATATTTTACCAAAATCACCTTGTCTGCAACACTGAGGCACTTTGGAATTTCACTGATCACAAAGGGAAAGAAATATAACAAAGCACATCTCCAGTGATTTATTGTGAAGTCAGGACAGTGTGTTCTACAGATTCAATGTTCTTCCTCTTCTCGTTGATTTATTTCAATCCAAACTAAAGATACTTATTTTATTATTATCCAAACAACATGGCAGGATGTTCCAGGAGAGAAACAGACTGCATCTCTGTTTCTAATATTTTATAAATTGGATTTGAATTACTGACTTTGATTACAAACAGAGGGCTTGGCAGAAAACTGCAATGTAATATATGAGATACTTTAATTGTTTCTTCTAATGATCAAGAAACATGAATCAGTAGAAAAAAATGCATCATTGGAAAAACAAATAGTAAAAAGCACCAGTTCTACGGATCTGGTCTGAAAGAGCTTAACATCACCAAACATGGAACATGAATGACACAAGTTGTTGTCAAGAATTGTGTTGTTAAATTCTCAGCCTGAAACTACTAGACTTCATGCCTAGTTTCATCAGTAAAATGGCAGCCCTCATTGAAAGACAGCTGCACCAATCAGAGTACAGGCAGTCCCCGGGTTACGTGGATCCGACTTATGTCGGATCCCTACTTACGAACGGGGTGAGGGAACCCCGCCCTAGCTGCGCCCCCCCCGGCAGACCAGGGAGATGCGGAGCAAAGCTGCGGAGGACGCGGGTGGCGGGACCGCCCAGACGCACCACCCACGTTCTTCGCGGCGAGAAAAGCTGCTCCGCATCTCCCTGGTCTGCGGGGGAAGCCCCCCCAGCAGACCGCCGAGACGTGCCGCAGCGGTCCCGCCGCCCGCATCCTCCGCGGCGAGAAAAGCTGCTCCGCATCTCCCTGGTCTGCGGGGGAAGCCCCCCCAGCAGACCGCCGAGACGTGCCGCAGCGGTCCCGCCGCCCGCATCCTCCGCGGCGAGAAAAGCTGCTCCGCATCTCCCTGGTCTGCGGGGGAAGCCCCCCCAGCAGACCGCCGAGACGTGCCGCAGCGGTCCCGCCGCCCGCATCCTCCGCGGCGAGAAAAGCTGCTCCGCATCTCCCTGGTCTGCGGGGGAAGCCCCCCCAGCAGACCGCCGAGACGTGCCGCAGCGGTCCCGCCGCCCGCATCCTCCGCGGCGAGAAAAGCTGCTCCGCATCTCCCTGGTCTGCGGGGGAAGCCCCCCCAGCAGACCGCCGAGACGCGCCGCGGTCCCGCCACCCGCGTCCTCTGAAAATGCCTGAGAAGCCAGAATGCCCATCACTGTGAAATTCGGAAGGTCACATGGTACTTCGTCTAACCAGATGAGCCTGCTTGGGAGAACATACTGCTTTCCCTCCAATGCAGAGTCTTAAACATTTCCAAGTGAAAGGAAAGAAAAACCTATCCTACACCATCCAGTTAGGCATAAAAAAGCCAGACTTGTTCCTTGATATTAATACCTCAAAAGGAAAAAAAAGAGTTTGTATTTCCCAAGATAGCAAAGTATTCTGCTGGTGTGAACAGATGTCGTGGGCCGTCTCCAACTGCCAGTGATTCAGTGGGAGACTCCCACAGTCAACGGGAGCTGTAATAGCTACTTCCTGCACAGCAAGGAAATAGCCCTTACCGGGACATCACCCTGGGTTTTCACCCCTTTTATCCTTACCCAAAGGCTTCCAACAAATGTGTCTCCTTTTTCCATCTCAAGGTCAATGAATGTATGTCCATCTTTGATACACAAGGTAACATCTCCAGTGGCAAAATTCCCAGACAAAACAAAATTTCTCAAGGCAGAGAAGTCCTAAGCAAACTGCAAAGAGTTACAAACAATTCTCAGAAACACTGAGTGACAGGGCAGATGGAATTCAATGTTGGTACATGCAAAGCAATGCATGATAGAAAACTATCTCATAATTCCAGTCCCAAAATGACAGAATCTAAATTAGCTGTTACCACTCAAGAGACAGGTCTAGAGTCATTATGGATAGTTCTCTGCAAACATTCACTCTGTGTGCAGCAGCAGTCAATAAAAGCTAATACAATCCGAAGAACCACTAGGAAAAGGATATATAATAAGGCAGAAAATGCCATAATGCCACTATATAAATCCCTGGTGTGCCCTCATCTTGAATATTACATATAACTGTGGTCCCCCCCACCTCAAAAAAGATATACTGGAGTTGGAAAAGGTACAGAGAAGGGCAAGAAAAATGATTGCGTGTATGGAACAGCTTCCATCTGAGGAGAGATTAAAAAGACTGGGATTTTGCAGCTTTGGAAAGAGACAAAACTAGTGGGCTGTGTCTATACTGGGCCACTTATTCCGGAAAAGCAGCCGCTTTTCTGGAATAACTTGCCAGCTGTCTACACTGGCCGCTTGCTTTTCTGGAAAAGCAATGACAATCTACTGTAAAATTGTTAATGTTTTTCCGGAAAAACTATGCTGCTCCCGTTTGGGCAAAAGTCCTTTTCCAGAAAAACTGTTCCGGAAAAGGGCCAGCGTAGACAGCACAGTAGTCTTTTCTGTAAAAAAGCCCCGATCGCAAAAATGATGATCGGGGCTTTTTTACGGAACAGCGCGTCTACATTGGCCACAGACGCTTTTCTGGGAAAAGTGCTTTTCCGGAAAAGCATCCTGCCAATGTAGACGCGCTTTTTCCGGAAATACTTATAACGGAAAACTGTTCCATTTTAAGCATTTCTGGAAAAGGGTGCCAGTGTAGACGTAGCCGTGGTGTATATAACAGGTCTATCAAATCATGACTGTGTGGAGAAAGTAAATAAGCAAGTGTTATTTACTTCTCATAACACAAGACCAGGGGTCACCAAATTAAGTTGTCACGCAGCAGGTTTAAAACAAACAAAAGTAAGTATTTCTTCACACAACACCCAGTCCCATTTGGAACTTGCTGGCAGGAGATGCTGTAAAGGCCAAGACTATATCAGGGTTCAAGAAAAACTAGATAAGTTCATGGCGGTTAGGTCCATCAATGGCTATTAGCCAAGATAGCCAGGGATGCAACTCCATGTTCTGGGTGTCCTAGCCTCTGACTGCCAGAAGTCTGGAGTGGATGACGGGGGATGTATCAGTAATTGCCTGTTTTGTTCATTCCCTCTGAAGCACATGATATTGGCAATGGTCAGAAGACAGGATACTGGGTAGATGGACCATTGGTTTGACTCAGCATGGTTGTTTTTATGTTCCCATTTCCTGATAAAACAAACTCAGGCTTTTAGACATGCCTGTTAGGAATAGCTCAAACACACTCCAGATACAATCCATTTCGTTCTATTTTAAAATAAATCAACATCTTCAGGGCTATTTCCTACTGGCAGAAAGGCAAGAGAGAAACAGACAGAATTGTTGATACACTTACTTATGGAAGTGATAGGCAGCTGAGAAAGAACAGAAATAGATTCAGAAAAGTATGCAAGACATTTCTCTTCAGCAGTGATGGGAAAATAAGCTACAAAATTTGTAATGCATTGAAGTGAGTTTCTGGAAACTGACAGCAGTTGTAAAGCAGTGTAATACAGTTTGTTGTATAACACAGCACACTGCTGTCTCTTCTTCAGAAGCAACGTTCTGAACAACAATGCGTAGTACTATTATGCTACATCAATTGGGTCAAAGGTACATGGTAATCACCATGTGATCTTCCTTCGTGCAGCTGATAAACACTGCACTGGTGACTGGGCAAAGGTGTGACCCGTTTCCCCTTGGGCATGTGGTGTTCAGGCAGGAGAGTGCTAACCCTAAGAGAGACAGCTTGAAAACAAGACCCTGTGGGTAACTTTCACTGGCCCAGGACACCCTGCTTTGTGAGATTGGACAGGGCGGGAAAGAAGAGCAACAAGGCACTTACTCTGCTGTCTCGTCCCAGTCACACCACAGCTTCTGCCCTATCACCTCCATCTCAAATTTAAACTGGCTTAGGCAGTAATCCTCCATCAGCTGGCCATAGTCTGCTTCATGGCACGCAGTGACCACGATAAAGTGATGGGCTGGAAGAGAGAACATGAACAAGGAAATTCCATCAATTAGTTGATTAAACTAAATGTAACATCCCTATTTTGAGGATCTGGCCTTTTCTCCCTTCTCTGGAGTATAAACCGCCGCCTGCGTAGCAGTAAGTCTGGGTGAATCCTCACTTCCTCACAGTTTGCCTCATGGCTCCTTTCACTCTTCTACCAATAGCAATTATAACTTAGGGTATGTCTACACTACAGCGTTATTTCGAAATATCTTATTTTGAAATAACGCGTCTACACACAAAATGCATTTTGAAATAGCGTTTTGCTATTTTGAAATAGCTTGTCCACAATAATTGGACGCTAATCACATTTAAAGACAGCTGAAACCGGTTCCAGCAGAGCATCAGGTCAGTAGTTGCTTTGTGTGGCTCCTGCCTGAGGCTATCTGAGGCTTGTACTTAAAGGGACCCCCCTGGACAGCCGGTTCTCAGCTTTCCCTGCTTGCCTGCCTACTTCACTGAGGGACAGCAAAGCATTTTTCTCTCTGTCTGCTGTGGTTGCCCTGACTCGGGACACCACAGCACTCGGTACCATGGAGCCAGAGCTGCCCCGGGCACTCTGGTGCTCATTTTGGACACGTTGCTGCGAGCCTGGCTGCAATTGCTGGAGACTGCCTGGCAGCAGCACTGCCCGGATGCCAGCGTGCCCCGCTGCATCTGGCGTCTTGACACCAGCAGCGACTGGTGGGACCATATCGTCCTGGAGCGCTGGGGAGACCAACAATGAACCCAGAACTACAGGATGAAGAAAGACACCTTCCTCGAGCTCTGCGAGTGGCTCGCCCCTGCTCTGCGGCAACGGGACACGCACGAGGCCCGCCATCCCCCTCCACAAGTGTGTGGCCATCGCCCTCTGGAAGCTCTCCACGCTGGATAGCTACCGATCCATGGTGAACCAGTTCGGCGTGGGGAGTTCCACCGTCGGAGCAGTGCTCATGCAGGTATGGCAGTCTCCAACCACTGTGCCAGGAGGGGTGGGGTGCGAGCTGCCCTAGGGAAAGGGGGGGGAGATGGTGAAAGTCCCCTCCCCGGGAGGGTTTGGTCTGTCCTAGCCACACTATGGACTGCCCACATTGGCCAGGATTGCAGGGGGGGTTGCTTCTGGGAGTGAGGGCACGGAGCAGCGGCGGGGAAGGAGCACTCTCAGCCACCCTGGCATCCCAGTGACTCTCGGTGGTTTTGTGCGGCCACACTATAGACTACCCGTGGTGGCCAGGATTGCAGGGGGGTTGCTCCTGGAGAGGAGGTGTGGGGAAGTGGCAGGGAGAGAGCACTGTCAGCCACCCTGGCACTCCAGTGACTCTCGGTTTTGTGCGTCCCTCTGCAGGTGGTCAAGGCCATCAATAGAGAGCTGGTTGACAGAGTCATCCGCCTCACTGATTTGGACGCGGTGATCAAGGAGTTTGGCGCCCTGGGCTTCCCCAACTGCGGGGGGGGGGGGGGGAATGGCGGGGGCCCTGAACATAAACCGGAAGGGATACTTCTTGGTCATTCTGCAGGCTGTGTCTGACCACCAGGGCCAGTTAATGGACATTAACGTGGGTTGGTCCAGCAAAGCACACAACCGGGCTGCACACTGGGAGCTTCTTCCCCGACTGCCACATCAGGGTTGGGGATGTGGACGTGCCTGTGTGCCTGGTGGGGGATGCAGCCTACCCACTACAACCTTGGCTCATGAAGCGCTAAACGGGACAA